GTTCTAATAGGACTTCTTACTTTTTTCGAGAAGAATTATGAGTATTTTTCAGGATCTTGATAAGGAGATGCTCACAGCGAAGATTCGTCTGTTGGAGGAGAGGTTGAATGATAAGAAAGCTGTTTTGGTGGAAAAAGTGAGTGAACGTACTTGGGAGAAGTTTGCGGACATTTGCGAAGCAGAAGTCTGCATTGACTGTGCGTTGACACTTTTTCTTCAAAAAGGCGCGACTGATTGTCCCGAAAATTTATGTAGTGATGTGATTGTGGAAATTTCGTTCCCCTTAGTTTTATTTAAAAATCTCTAACTGTGGGGAGGTGGAGCCTCCCCAATTCTCCATGCCTTCGGTGATGTGCTTTGCCGACGTTTTCTGGTCGAAGAAGTTTGGCTTCGAGATCGTATTCTGCTTAACATCAATTGATGTGGATTGAGATGTTGAGAAGCACTGGTATAGCTGTGTTGGCTAAGGAGGAGGGCCAGCAATCGAAAGGCCTCCGGTTCGATTCCACGGCCTGGACTTGATAGTCCACCAGTCCCCGCATTTTCCCTCGTAGAGTAGGTACGAGGTAGTAGTGTGCCTCGTACCTTAATGAATATTGTGAGTGTCCCGCACAGCGCTCAATGTTCTTGATGGCTACCGTTGACCGAGGGATGTCTTTGAGGTTAACCATCCCGTACTGCCACCTCATCGTCTAGTGGTCGTTCCCGAGCATCTTTACGTTGATGCTTCTGGTTACTTCTATCACCTTGGATGTATGCATGGCGATATTCATGTACGCATACTCGAGCGTATGAACAGCATAATTATATCAAGTTATTCCCGTGATAGTTATGTTATCGCACGAGCAGATTCGGCGACGTACATTGGAAACATTCCGTACTGTTCGTGGTGGTTTAGATGCGTTTTTATGTATATTATGCAGGGGTTCATTAAGGGGCCGAATGTTGGAGGAGTGTATTGAGTTGGAGTATGAGATAGACTGATGCATCGCAGAGGGATGTGCCATATTGAATCCCGGTTGTTCTCCGGTATCGCGGTACCGGTTCGGGTGGCAAAACGCCTCGAGGTTTTATCAAGGAGAGCACAGCCAAGAAGAAACGGTTGTTGATAATGATGATATTGATAATGAATTAGTGTCACCATGGTATGAGCTGAATAGTTATGGGCTAATAGTAAACTGATGATGAACTGCTTGATGGAGAATGAGGTTTGGTTATGGCTTGCCGTCTATGTAATTATCGGCGGAGGAAAGAATAGTGGAAATATGTATGCAACGAATGCTACTACTATTTATGATTGTTTGTTTTATCGTCTTTTGTTGTGGCGGAAATCATGGTGAATTTTTGAATTTGAAAAAAAATAAATTTCTATATTGAGAATATTTGTATTACATGGTTTACGATCTCAGAATATGGTGCTGGAGGA